AAAAAAAAAAAAAAAAAAAATTGTCACACACGGCGCGCGCGCGCGCAAGTAAAAGTTCAATACATTAAATACGAAAATAAAGTATATCTGTACAACGAAATTCAAGAGAGGAGCTTCCGCGCAATCCCTGATCAGATAATTCCGAACGTTTTGTTTTTGTTTTTTTGTTTTGTTTCCTCGAACGCGGGAAGATTATCGCGGACAACGGAAACGATCCTCCGACACCAATTAGTTTACCACGTGAAAACGACAACGTGATTTTACGATAAAGGTCTAGAGGAGGAAGTTACAGTGGCGGCAGTGCCCGCTACTGGCCGCTCTGGTACGACGTGTGGTGAAATATGTCTGTGTGTGTGTGTGTGTGTGTTTGTTTCTTTGTATACATACGTGTATGTACGTGTAAGAGGTTCCTAGGAAACAATAAATAAAATCTATCTATTCTCATTTATCTAGCGCGAGACACCGTCGCTTTGATTTGCTGGTCGATCCACTTTTTTTTTGTTTATGTATATCGATCACCCGACCGTTTTTTCTGCCTTTCAGCCTTCGAGCTCTCGAGGGTTGATTCCCTCTCTTTAAACTAAGATTGCATTTTTTTTTTTTCTAGCTGCCGTCGTCACGACGTGTAATGATGTTACACATCGCCCGTCGTCTCTCCTTCCCCGTCGGTACGTATTTAGAGTCCGACACAACTTTTCTTCTCTTTATATCTTCACATTTACAAAACTAACTCGCCGTTAAACCTCATCACGCGTCGGGAGCGCGCGTTGGTTACAACTTATAGCCACTTGTAATAATTACGCGTTTACATCGAAAGGTACTATTTCTGTTTATTATATACAGGCGGTAAATTGATTACTGATTAAATAGTGGCGTTATTCGCTAGCGTACGTTTTTTTTTCTTTATCACAACGATGATAAAATTAGTCCTTTGGGACCAGGACACCGCCTCAGTCCTCTTCTCAGCACTCGTTCTTTCATCATCTCTCTTTTTCTCCATCGACTCTCTCTCTTCTACTTCTGATTATGTCAAATTTGTTTCGATCGATGGAACAAACACGAAACGCGGCAAGTACACGAAAACTAATACAGTTGAGACAAAATACACCTCGATCATCGGGGAAAGAAATAACACTGTTCAACGCATTTTTAGGATCTGAATAAAACAATGTGTTTTCTAGCGGAAGTTTGGTCGCTGAAAATAAATCCAGCGATAAAATTGGCTTACCACGTCAGGTTTCCGAGAAAATTGCGGTTAAATGTGCCATAATTGGCGTTTTTGACCACCGTGTTTACCACGTTTTTACGGACAAACTCAATTTTTTTTTTTACAATGTTACTTGCACCACATTAAAGTGCTATCTTTTATCTATGATATAAATTTATATTTATTACGGTACGATTTTTTTTCATATATATATAAATAACATAGTGTAAATTATTAAATTGAATATAGATAATATTTTTGCTAGACAAAAGAATGCACTTTGGCATTCTAATTATTCCGTAAAAATTGTTCCTTATTGCTTACTGTTGTAATTCATAAACTTATATTTCATACATTTATAAATACTACACGGGGAAAAAAAGATTTGTTAGAATAGCGACATTATACTATATGGCCAGCAAAAAACATTTGCTAAGTTCATTAAGATTTTTGTTTTGTCAACAAAACATTTCGTTGATGAAACAAACAAGTTCGTAGACTCAATCATTTTTTAATAAAAAGATAGGGAGAAGGCCATTTTTCTTGCCAACCATATAATAAGCAAAACTTTTTTTCCCGTGTAATAATCATATTCAATTTACCGATTTATAATATATAAAAATTGTGTATAAAAAAACATCGTACCGTAATAAACATAAATTCATATTATAGGTAAAAGATAGCACTTTAATGTAACGTAAAATTGCCAAAAAAAATTTAGTTGGCCGCAAAAAAGATGGGAACTATGGCCAAAAACGCCAAGTTTAGCACATTTAACCCTAATTTTCTCAGAAATCTGATGTGATAGGCCAATTTTGTTGACGGATTCGTTTTCAGCTACCAAAAATCCATCGGGAAACACTTCGTTTATTCAGATCCCTCAAAGGTCTATATTTATAGAAATATATTTGTAGAATTGAATCGATATTTGTGTAATCGCAAGTCACGTGAACGTGGAAATTTACGTGAAAGTCAAGCAGTGTTTAATCGACCGGTCATATATTCTAATCTTATACATATCAGCCAGTGTCACAATGCGATTCTTCATTCGAATGATTACAAAATCGAATATTCAGAATCAACGTGCGATTTCTGATTTCGCTTCTGATAACGCGCGCGAAACAAAATTTCTCAAAATTGACTAGATTAGTCCGACAAATCGTGTGTGCGTGTGTGCGTGTGTGTGTGTATGTGTGTATGTGTGTGTGTGTTGCGATGTTCTGACGAATAAATCGGAAAAAAAATGGAAAGAATTGAAAGAGATGTATTACCGCATTGGAACTGGCTCGTTACTCTCCACGTAATAGACACATTCGACAACCTGGGCAACAAAAACATCTCGTGTACAAAAATCGACCATGTAATGGTCGATCGTTCCGCACGCACTCCGTTTGATATTGCACGTTTTTTTTTTTTTTTTTTTTTTATGCACGTCCGTTGAACGTACAAATAGGGCAAACGAACGAGCACCGTTCGTAAGTACTGCACTATCTGCCGATCCTAGGTAAAAGCGAGATCATCAGGGGGCGATCGATCTATCGGATCGAGTTGCCTTCAGGATTTTGGCATCACAGTAAGGAATAATAATTATGTCCGTGACCACCAAACGGGATTGGTCACGAGCCGCTGCTGGTGGACAGGATCGACAGGTCACGGTGAGCTTGAGGGTCCCTGGAGTGCGCGTCACGTACAGCCCTGGAACCGAAGATGCGCTCGCAACCGGGTATCGTGCATCTGGCCTCCTCCTTACGGTCGTCCGAGCCTGGCGATGACATAGGCGAGCCCAAGGAGGACGCGTGTCTGTTGCCCTGTTCCTGGGTCAGTCTCGTCAAGTGATTGAGATGCTGATGAGTGAAACCGTTCAGGCCGGCCAGATGAGACGCAAACGAGGAAAGACCCGGGAAGGTAGCACCGAGATGCGGCGGCAACAGCAACGGATGCGGTGGTGGTATTCTGGCCGCCAGATCGGCCGCAGACGGCAGACCTGATGCCAAGGGATAAGCACCCAGCGCGCCTATGCCAGCGTCTGCGTAGAGTCTCGCTAGGAACTCGTTGTGCAACAGAGGATTGATCTGCGGGTCGTCGACACGCGGCGACAGGCTCGGCGGCAAGCTGGATGAGAGCGGAGGGCTTGACGATGTTGACAACAGCTTTCGGTGCAGATTGAGATTCGCCGAGTGACGATCGCGAGACCGTTTCGACGGAAAGGCCGCATTACAGCCGTCCACGCTGCAGCGGTGCATCAGCTTGAGATGGACGTTCTGGTAGTGGGTCTTAACGCCGAAATGATTCTGAAAGACCTTGCCACAGGCGGTGCAACGACGCGGGTTCTCACGGTCGAGCGGCACCTCCTGGGTGCTGACGAAGCCGCCGTTCTCGTAACGCGCGTACGTGATCAGGCTATTGTCCATATCCATGGCCGCTGTGGAGGGTGAGGCGCTGGATGAACGAGAGCCATGTGAGGAGTTGTCCATGGTGGTCTCCTGGTGAGTCGTGAGGCTGATAGGGCTGGTAGAGCCGCGGCCAGACCTCGAAGCCACCCGCTGCGTCTCGGCGTACGGCATCGCGCATCGACCCTGCGACAAGGACTCGAGTTGACGCAAAGTGTTGGTCGAGGAGTCGTGGGAGAGGTCGTCGGCTGTCGTCGGACGGCTGTCGACCGAGCTCGGGGCACGGGGGGGATCATCGGGACGCTCACCTTCTTGATTGCGCAGCGCGTCGTCCACTTCCTCCTCCTCCTCATCATCCTCCTCGACCTCCTCCATGGGCTCATCGTCATCGTCTTCTTCGTCCTCCTGGTTCTCTTCGTCGTTCGCCGCCTTACCCTCCTCCTGCATCGTTTCGACAGATTCTTTCTTCACGGTCTCCTCCTTTGCCCTCGTTGTTTCGTCACTCTCCGCGCTCTGTCGTCGAGTTTTCTGCTCCGACGATATTGTCGTGTCGGTGTCCTTCGCTGTTGTCGTCGCCGTCGTCGTTCCGCTCAGTGTCGTGCTCGACGACGATGCGTTGTCGATCTTTGGTTCCGGGGTGATCTGTCGTTTTGGTGACTTGACGCTGCTCGCCCTCGAGCTCAAATCTCGCGGCTCGTCCTGGGGCAGATCGTCCGCGTGGTCTTGGGTATCGCGTCGATTGTTGACGACCGTTGTCGCTTCGCGCTCTCTATCCGGAGAACGCGAGTCCGACTCGCGATCGTGAAAACTACTTTTGAGATTTTGCGGCGAGCTCGGAAGCATCTTTCGTTCTTCCGCTTCAAGCCTGGACATAGACATGTCCTCCGGCTGGTTTTGGAACTCCGTCATCGGCGTTGACGCGACGATGTTGTCTGATAAACATCGCCGTTGAATCCGCTGCTCTTCGTCGTTTGAAGAATCGCCATCAGTGGATGACGAATGTACTTCCGCCGGCACGGCGCATCTCGTGGGATGCTGAGACTTTCTCTTGCGCACGCCCCGGTTGTGGAAGGAACTCGAATTGAGCGAGTGCTGGCTGACGGAAAAGGTTTGCTGATCGACCGTGCCCATTGAGTCGTTGTCTTCGTTGCTGTCGGGGTTGCTGGCGAGGTCCTCGTCGACGGTATCGCCGAAGTAGAGCTTCGGCCGCTTCGCCAGACTGAAGTCGGTCGGCTGCTCGTCGTCGTCGCGCAGCGGTTGCAGTCTAGACGGCAGATTACTGGTCTCGTCTTCCGCCACCACGACGATACCGCCGTCGTCGTCGTCATCGTCCTCCTCGCCCTCTGGTATCGCGGATGACGCTTGAGTGGACGGTGAAACCGCGCTGTTGGGTGCGTTGTTACCAGGAAACGAACCTCCTCGCGTGGTTGTCGTGGTCGTCGTGGCGGCCGCGGTCGACATCACGATCGGCATCGTCGTCGAGGCTGTGGAGGTCGAGAGATTCACATTCGCCGAAATTCTTTGCTGCAGCGCTTCGTCATACGGCCTGCCCTGATTCGCCTGCGTGGACGACAGATCCAGATGCTTGAAGTCCAACGCGCACAGAGAGGCTGGCGAACGAAGATCTGGCGGCGGCGTGAGCAACGGAAACGAGCCGAAAGGCAGATGATTCAGTCCGGTAGCCGGTACCGGGAGTCCGACCTGTGGAGGCAGCACGAGAGCATGCGCCATGGACGAACGGCCGTCGTGCGGCGAGATCTTGCGGCGTAAGTGAGGCGAGTGCAGCTTTGGATTCGGATTGGCGCTGTGCCGATTACGCGACCTGCGCGAGCTAAACATCATACTGCAGCCTTTGACGGTGCACTGATGCATTTCGCGTAAGTGCACCGCGCTGAAGTGGATCTTTAGAGCGCCCTTGTCACAGAAAGTTTTCAGACATACGTTGCACTGCACGCGCTTCTTGCCGGTGGTGGGGTTGATGAAAGGCGTGCCGAGGTTCGGTGGCATGTTCGCGGCCGCGCCCCACTGGCTGCCCGGTCGCTTGCCCGGCGAGTGCGGTTTCCTTCCAGGTATTCCAGGTGGTCTGCCGAGCGGCGCGGCCTGGAGCGATAACGGAGGCGGATGACGTTGCTCGGACGAGATTGAGTGCTTTGACATAGCGGCATCTCGTCTGCTGAGATTCAACGCGCTGTCGGAGTTCTCCTCGTCCTCCTCGTCCTCTTCCGAACCGAACTCGCTGCTCTTCTCGCCGCCGCTGTGAACGTCCACGGGTATCGTTAATCCGCCCCCGATGCCGCCGCTGCCAGGTGTTTTGCCCATTGGCGGTGGTGGGAAGTGCGTAGGGAAGCTCGGCGGTAACGCCCCCGAGGAAACCGCGACCGAGAGCGGATGGCCGAAGGCCGTAAGCGCCGACGAGGAAACGGGGGCGACCGGCACGTGCGGCCTCTGCAACTGCGACACCGCGGGTGAATGATGGGGCGGACTGTGGGGACTCTGTGGATTTCTCATGGACTTGCGGTTCTGCAGAAGTTGCTCAGCTGACGGCGGCGGTGGCGGTATCGGCGGGAAGGCCGGCAGTCCGAGGGTGCTCAACTTTCGAAAATCGAACGGTTGCATGCTCTGCAGTCTGTTCAACGGCGATACCGTTAAATGCGAGTCTAACGAACGCGGCGGCGAGTTCGATCTGCTCGTAACGACCGCGTTGCCGGCCGTCGACGAGGAATAATGTTTCTGCGCTGTCGGCGACATCGACGGATGCGAGACCGACGACGGCGGAGGCGGCGGAGGTGGAGGCGGCAGCGGAGGTGGTAACCGGGAACCCGGCGGCGGTAAACCGCAGTGGAGCATGTGCAACGGGGGTGGCAAGTGTGCTAGTGGCATCGTCGGTGGCGAAGGTCGTCTGCTCGGTGACATAGCATCCGTACCCGGCGTTCCGGCGGCCAGCAGCAGTTGCTGCACAAACGGACGCGTCTCGGCGAATCTGAGGAACTGCTGTAAAACCAGCGGCTCCTCCTCAGCCGAGCAGATACTCCATCGGTCCAGCACCGGGCCGTTCTGCGAGTCCTGCGAACATAGAAGACAGAGGGGATTGCTTCTTAGAACTTCGGGAGAAATTGAATCGACGAATTAATTATAATTCTCTCTCAAGAGGATAAATCTGTCGTTTTGTTTTGTTCGCGAAGGCACTTCTGTCTACGAAATTCGCGATTTACATTCGCGATTATACGCCGTTTTAGCGTGTGGGGTGGAAATTGCGTAAACGCGCGAATCACGCGATAAAGAACACGCGATATCATCGATCGATTCGCGGCATAATCGCCGCGCGCACAGGAATGAGACGAGGGAATATATATCGTTTATTTTTATTTGACCGTATAATTATACGGTCGCGATGGAAGAAGAAAAAAAAAAAAAGAGCGCTTCCTACATTGTCAACCGCAGAAGGTCGAGCGTTCCCCCCGTGTTCGCGTTCCGTTACTTTTGTGAAATGAAATGCGCAAAAAAGCTGACTGATAAATAAAAAGGATTGATTGATGACGCTTAATGTAGCGGGTAATTAGTTCTGCCTCGCCTGTTAGCGGTGAGATTGCAGTTAAACGCGTTAAGGATTTGACCTTGCATCTCTCTCGCCAGATACACACACTCGATCTGTCTTCTCTCTATGTGTATACGCGCCTGCTATTATCCGATCCTATTTTTTGCGATCGAGTTTTAGCGATTTGTCATCGCAGATCGAGAGAGCCCCGTGTGTGCGTAATGCGACGTGAAATCATTTGAATCCGCGGAAAATTTACGAGGTCTCTCTCGCAGTTAATTTCTCGTCTCGCTCTCGAAAATCAACTTGGGAATAAAATCGCCAAGCGGAGTGCGAGACGCGACGATTGGTTTTTTTTTTAAATATATAATTTTTTTAATACAATAGTTTCATGAAAAAACGTTTTACACTGTGTTACAAGAATTTCATGTTCGTTCGGTTAATGTTAACGATTGTTTGTTTACTTCGCGGAAAATAAGTTTCGCTATTACACGGGCAGCGAGAAAAACTCGCCGAGTGTACCGAATTGTTTGTTTCATCAACAAAACGTTTTGCTGGCAAATAAAAAAATTCAATAGGTTTAGCAAATTTTTCTTGCCGGCTGTGTGATAAACTAATCTTCTTGCTATTCTGACAAAAAGCTTTCTTTTCCGTGTACGCGCATACACGTGATGAGAAGGAGCGCCAAATGTTCCTTGTTTCTTTGTTGCGATCGTTTTCGCCCCGGCGCGATCATGTTACTTTTGACAAAAGTTAAACTTCTCTTCCAGCCTCTCTTCCGAGATACGGAAAGTAACGTAAATCTCTCTCTCTCTGGCGATACGTTCTCGACATATCACACGAACGTCACGTATCGCGCTCGTGTAGAGTCACGGCTTCTTATAAATTTCAGAGTAAGCCGATTATATAGAGCGCTAAGTTCGCCTCCCTCCCTCCTAACCCTCTCTCTTTCTTTCTCTCTCTCTTCTTCTCTCTTCCCGGTTTGTATATTTATGCATACCGACGGACTTTGGACGTAACGCAGGACGCCCAGCGCCGCGACGCTTTTCGCGTCCTGTGTATATTTCTTCAAGCACGCGCACGCGTCACCGTATATCGTACATACACGCGCACGGAATGAGACACACTCGGCAGACACACTCGTGACCGCCGCCACTCCGGATTCGATCTCGCGGGAACGACGTCGTTATTTTTCGCCCCCGGGCTAAACCGCAAAAATAAAGAATGTCAGAGAATCTGCCAGCGATCGCGCCGCCAGATATATAATAGGCGCTGCCACGAAAAGTTTTTGTTCTCTCCGATAGAATCGATTCGGCGCCGTCATGGTGTATATATGTACATCCGACAGTGTACTTCGATCCCCGCAGATCTATTCGTAAAGCGCTCTTATCTCTCTCTCTCTCTCTTTTTTTTTTAACAGAGTACACAATGTCTTGTTTGAGAATAGCGCGTGCACAGACGTTTTAAAATTCAAATCCATAAGAAAATCAAGAAGAAGATGTCTGATGATCCCGAGTTTATTTTAAACTCCGGAAGGTGAAGCGGAGTATAGTTGGAAGAATATGAGAGAGAGAGAGAGAAAGAGACAATAATTTACTCTTAAATAAATCTCAGAAATATTTTTATACACAAAAAATTATTCTAATATATATGTGCAAACAAATTTTACGACGCGCTTGCGCACGTATTGTTATTCGGAAAAAAATTTCGGATTGAACAAAAAAAAAAAAAAAAAATCACATTGTAAAACTGTTTGTGCGTGAAATATGTTCGAAAGTAACCAAACATCCTGAGGATAATCGAAACCATATGGGCAAAAAGACAATGAATAACGCTCGACGTCGTACCGCTACGTGTACGCAAAGTGTAATTTTCCGATTTTTACTCAAGTATCGCGTACGATAATCAAATCTCACGCGGTGCATAACGACAGCTGTCGCATATTATTTCTCTTGTAGATCGCATAGATTATCGTTTGATGAGACGCGAGTAATGTCGTGTCGTTTCTCATCGCGTGTCCACGTCGCCAGCTCGGCGACGTTTTCCTCAGTTCCGCGATAATGTGCGCGCGGCGGAGTACTGCACCATTGACTGTGCGCAATTTCAGAATGTTTTTTTTACGCGCATTATGATATTCGCAAATAGATTTGTCACGTTAGTTTTTGCGCGTATATATTCATCTCTTCCCGATTACCGAGCAATCTGCGCACAAAACAGAATCGCGGCGGTGTTGGTGTTTCGTTGAAAGTTTATGTGAAAAATGCTCTTGAACAGCTGCGCATTTCCTGATTAATTTTGTTATTATTCGATTTTTGATTATTTATTAAAACTTCGATGTTTACATAATTTTACATGTAGTGTATCGGTTACGTCCTTTTTTTGTATATTTTGATTTGTTTATCTAAAAAAAAAAAACTATACCCCTCTGTCAGAAAAAGACACTTAAAATTATCGAAGAGCTGCACCGCAGGTTTGACTCGAACTTTTATCGTGTTTTTGCGCGACCTTTGAAAATAGATAATTTGAAAAAGGAGCAGAAGAACAAAAAAGAAAATAAAAGCACACGCCATTTCGCGTTGCGAGATGTCTACCGCTTCTGGTGAGCTGTCGATCCTTGAAAGAGCAATCTGAAGGCCGTGGATGCTTTTCCCATAGGTTCCTCTCTCTTCTCCCGCTATTTCACGAAGGATTCGACAGTGTGCGCGTCATCGTTTACCCCCGGCCGTACTATACACGCGTGCGTGACGTTCGAGGGGGAGGGGAACAAAAAAAAAGGGTTCCGCGAAGCGCCTTAATCGCGCCTCTCTCGTCCTTACGTGAAAGGACCCAAACGGTCGTGTCTGAGAACGCAAGACTACCGTGTACCGTGAGACTCGAATTTTAATCCCGCACGCGAATGAGGCCCGTTCCGACAACGCTCCGATCTCTCTCTCTCTCTCTTTTTCTTTTTCTCTCTCACTCTTTCTCCTCCTTCTCCTTCTTCATCACTAAATTCCGCAGCGTGGAATTTTGCTGTTCCGTGTGCTCCTCCGTATTCAACGGGACGACGCGAAATATGAGTGTGAGAGGTCGGTGGATTATGACGAAAAGACATAATGAGAAGAAATAGCAAAGGCACTTTTATTATGATTTCTCGCACTGTTATTTGTACATAAGTTAAATACACACACACACACACATACACACTTTAGAAAAATATATATGGTTGTTCTAACAAATCTTTTTCTTTGTGTATAATAATTACTTGTGTGTAAAATATATGAACAATGTCAAAATTGTGAAAAACTAACTTTTCCTAATTTTTGTATCAGAATATATCTGTATATATATATATACACACACACACATAATGTATTCAAAGCAATACTCGCTTTATTTTACGAAGGAAATTCCGGCGTGGCTTTAATTAAATTCGAATGGACGTAGTTAATTTAAATAATAGCGTGCGTCTGAATGTGTTTCGCGCACACATATATGTATGTACGAAACGCGACGCAGGATCCTGGGAACTTCGGTAGTTGGGTACTCGGGAATAAAAGAGGCGTTAGGAACAAGACGCGAACCATTACCGCGTTATTGCATAATGGATAATTACATGGAGTCGCAGAAGTAAGATAAAGCTCGTTTTACTCGCTCGCTCATTACGTTTCCCTCAATCCTCGTGTCTCGCGTATGATTCACATAATTCTTGCTCCACTCACGCGATTCTCTCTATATACGCGTCGTTTACTTTGTATTATTATTTGATGATAATGAGACTATTATTCTTTAGCCGTTAATAAACATTAGAAAATAATGACAAAGTCCTTTTTGACGATAAAAACAGAACTGAAATCCTATCACGCATCATCTCGTTTCTTTTCCCGACAGAGCAACACGAACAAGTCAAATAAACGTTGAAATCAAGATCAGATATTTATTTAGATTAAAAAAAAAAAAAAAAAAAAAAAAAAAAACACGTAATTCAACGTATGTAAAAAAAATTATTAAGTTTATAATTAAATCAAATTATCGGACTTAACGACGCCGATCGCTTGCAAACGCGGCGGAAAAGCGTAACGCGCGCTAGCTGGACCTCGAGAATCGTTCCAGTCTGTGGTGCCATCTGACGACGCAATTGTCGACGCAAAGCGTACGACGCAGTTCGGTTTTCACCGCGAAAGAAGCGGCGGCAATCAACGCGTCGAGATGGAGGAGGCAGCCGGCAGTGGCGGTGGCAATGGCATCCGTGACTGGACACTGCATATGATTTCACGCTAAGTGGGCCCTGTCTTATTCGTGGGTAGAAATCGTAAAGATCTCGCGTGGATATCCGCCACTAAATTGGATTGCAGCTACCTGCGTCTGTCCTCCGCGTCCTCTCTTTCTCCTTCGCGCTCTCTCGTTTTACTCCCCTCCCACTCTGCCCCTATCTCTTTCTCTTTTTTTTTTTTTTTTTTTTTCCATACATTCTCCTCTTCGACCGATGGCTCTGACTGTTTGTCGCAACCGCCGCGCGCCGTTTTATTTCGCTTTACGCGCTCTCGTTTCGAACGATGCGACGATTCAGGAGAAACTGTCGGGGCGAAGTCGCGAGGAAGCTCCTCCGGCACGTCGTAAAATGCAAGTCGACGCAACACCGCGGAGTTTCACCGAGACGGCACAAAAAAAAAAAGAACACCCTGGGAAAACAACGTGCTTTGCGATTTAAAGGATTTTCCTCTTTTGGGAAATTTTGTTCTACTTGAAAAAAGAGTAAACATATATATATATGCATATATGTATGTATAGAAAATATTGTATTATTTTTATTCAAATCGCGCGGCTATTGATCGCGTCATCTAAATTTAGGATCTCGAGATAATTCTGACAAATTGCGCCGGTCTCTATTTTCCATCAACATTATTTCCGCCGCGAACATCTCGTATACATCGGCAAGGAATATATCGACATACGTGACACCTCTGTTAAACAACCACGGCAAATAAATTTCACAAAATAAATGATCTCGTATCACATATTGACAAAACTCCGGAACCGATCGTATAATTTCGGTCGTTGGACATGCGTCTCGCATGCGTGACAAAGCGAGGAAGGGAGACACGCGGAGGAAGCTTCGTGTTATTAAGTTTATTTCAGCCACGGGCGATGGCCGGTTCGTCATCGGAGGATGAACAATGTAAGTCCGATCGCTCGATTTTGCACGTTTAACGCTGACATCGTATCGGGTAATTCGTCCAAGAAGACGCCTCGAGCGCCAAAGCTTCGAAATGCATCCCATGTGTGTGTGTGTGTGTGTGTGTAGCCACAGCATGTGCCATGTGGAACGATTTACATTCAAAACACGTCTCCCGTCATCGTCGTCGTCGTCGTCGTTGTCGTCGTCATGGTTCGCGAGAGAGGATATTATGCGTCCTCGTCAGATTGAAGACATCGCGGCCAATCGTTGCCGATTACCCGTGTCGCCGCGATCGCGAGGGAAAGTAACAGTGTGTTCACCGTTAATAGAAATAAACACCGATACGCGGTGTGTAACGCGCGGTTATTTGACGTGACCGAAATACGAGCGCACACGCGCGCCTAACGTTCGTGTTTCAAGATCCGAGACGTGCACAAGCGAAAAAGACACACGAGAGCTGTTTAGAGGATTTTGCTTTGCGATGCGCGGGGAAAAGCCTCGCGGCGCGCGCGCGGCGCCCGCGGACCAATATAAAACGTGAAAAAATAATTGAGATCCCATAAAGTCCCGGGAATATTTGCGATGAAACATGTGTGTATCTATAAATTTTCCGCGATTTATTTGATTTTCGAAAGGGGGTTCTCGATGTATAAACGCCACGCGCGTCTCGGAGTGCTCGTGATTCAACGGGAGTCGTTATTTTTGTTTCCTTTCACGGTGTTTTATACGGTTGTACATATGCATACACACCCCACACGTAGACCCGCATCATCATCCCAGACGTTCGCGCGCAAGGTACGCGCACTCTCATAATCGTACCCGATCGACATTCTCGATCTGTGCGTTCTCCGATTACGTTCGAAGTGCTTCTTCGTCGTTCGAATTTTACTCTTTGCCGGTAATCAGCTACGAGCGATCTCGCACTCCGTAATTTTTCTCGTATCGGCTCCGATTTCGCGTCCTGTCTTTCCTTTTTTTTTTTTCCTCGTCGGGATCTTCCTGTTTATCTTCACCGGGTCCTTACGTATTTCGTCTTTGTCGTTCATTTTGGCTCCCGTCGTTCCTCCGATAGCTGCGCAAAATGCCACGTCGAAATTTCGATTCGCCGTTTTATTGCGCACGCCAGATTTTGCGTTTCCGCTCCCAACGGTCGACCCGCGCGAACATAGTCGGATCTCCCTTTTTCCTCCATCTCCCCTCCCATTGGAGGTTTGCTCTTCTCGTATCTGGCGAACACTGCCGTATATATCGGTATCCTCGAATCGTCTCCGCTCTCGGGATGCTCTGTAATTTACGGTTTTGGCTCATGCTCCCATCGAGGTGGAGTAATGACAGGTCGATCAGCTCCGGGCTACCACCTTTACCGGTTTCCACTCTGCCCGGCTCTTGTCTGCTTTATACGATGCCACTTTCGATATTACGATTCTCCACGGCGACGACGACGATGATGATGACGACGACGACGACGACGACGACGACGACGACGATCGGTCCCGGCAATCTTCACAAGTTTTGAATTCTCAGGGAACTTTGGACCACCGAGACGAACAGGCTCGTTGCCGTCTTTATTGACATTTCTTTCCAAATCGATTGGATGAAAATATATATTTTGAACACAAAGTAATATTTCAAGAATATCATCATATATGTTGAAGGTTTTAAGATTTTCCTGAAGAGAACTACCGATCGCGCGAAAGCGTCAGAACGCAAATCTCTTCTCTCGCGCGCGCGACTCGCGCTCGCCGATGCGCAATTCGCTCGTAAATCTCGCGCTGCCACGACGGCAAGAAGGCGGGTTTCGCGTTCCTGAGATACCTCTCTCCTTCCTCCCATCGCGCAAGTATCCGTCATAAAGCCGCGGAGTTGACGGCAGTCACCTACCCCTCCTCCCCCTCCCCCCAACCCGTGTAAAATTCTACTTGATTCCGCCTGGTCGCCATTGCGTCCAAGTCGCTTCCGTTGCGGCGGGCGTGCACTACGGGCTGCAATACGTGCGAAATTGGTCTTCGCGAAACGCGAGTATATATTCCTCGATTCTTTGAGCCGCGCATCCGCCGCGCCGAGCGATGTGATTTACCGTTTCCACGTTCGCACATACCACAACGACGACGATCTTTTCCCCGACCGTGTGCTTCCTCGCGGAAAACATTTCAGCGAACGCTTGTAAAACGACGGCTCTCGAGGAGTTTACTAGCGGAATAGGAAAAGATGCAAATTCTGGAGCATCGAAGCTGAATTTCTCCGGTTATGTGCGCGCGCGGAATCGCTTTTTGAGAAACAACACGCGGCGCATCTCGAAGGAAGTCCGAGAATCTCTTTTTGTGTGTATTTCCGCGCGCATGAATACCAAAAGCGACGATCTTGCAAAAATAGAGACCAACCCTAACCCTAAAGCTCCGCGCGTCGATATTAGACGGGTCCCAATCGGCATTGCGGATCATAATTCAGAAATCCTAAGCGACTCGTGACAGAGATCGCGATAGCGAAATGCCAGGAGACACTGTTGCGGCGCTGGACTGTGACTCCGACGATGTCTTACGACTCGAGTCATAAAGCGGGGAGAGCTCGACCGCGGATAACTCACATACCGAGATGCAAATCTGTGGAACTGGAAGGTTCTCTCCGAGTTCTCATAGATCGATCCCCCGGCGCGTGACACTTGCGCCGCTATAAATCGTGATTCAGGAAGTCGCGGCGACACGATGGAAAAATATTCCAGTAACGAGCCGTGAAATAGCGAGCGCTGCTCGCCAGATGTGAGGAAATAACACAAATGTAAATTCGCAGGCAACTTGAATATATTCGAGAGATTCTTAATATCCGAAACGAATCGTTTGCGGAATGATGTTTCATTAGCGTCGGTGATTGAGATATTGGCGCTTTCGATAATCGCGAGACACGAATCACAAAGGAGCCGTTTGGCTGTGAAAACGGACCGTGTAAACGGATTCGAGGAGATGCAAATTCTCAAAGCGGATGTATCCGACTTTCCTGCACAAATCGTTTAACCATAAGTCGAGTTTACAGCGACGAATCGTGACCGGGAATCAACCGGCGATTCGTTACGCGACCTGGTCGATATATTCCGACGGAAACTGAATATGCAAACGCGCGTACGTGTTTTATCGCCACTGTAGTGGACTTCCATCGATCAAACCTCGTTTCTCTCAGTCTGTTTACTACAATCGAAATTTTAGCGACAAAGATAGAAAAACTGAGAAATTCCTGAACACACACACACACACACACACATCACGTAAGACTTTAGATGATACATATATTCTATGCGATAAATTTTGTAACGAAAATTGCGATTCAGAGAGAACTGTGCGTGGAAATGGCCACGTGTCAAAACTTATACCTACACATTCACTCGTCAACAATAAAACACGTAAGTAGGAAGCGGTTAGAGCCACGACGACGCGTGGTTTTAATTTATAACTGTGTTACAACTGGAAGTTCTGGATCTATGTCGTCCTCGACGTGTTTCGACTTGTTCAAGATGTAACGGATCGCTATCGAAGCGTGTATTTCGACATCCGTTCCGGATAATCGCGTGTCTTCGAGATCCAGGCGGCCTCGCTCATTGCGACGTCGCCTAAAACCGGAGAGCGCACGGGAGAGAGCGGAGAAGTACCAAGAGAAGTACGAAAGCTAATAGAGTTCGGAATTGTATCGTCACGCGAGCTCTCTCTCTCTCTCTCTCTCTCTCTCTCTAACGAGCTTGAATTTCGGTTTAAATTTGGTCGACGCGAACCAAACGAAAAGTAAACACAAAACGAAAGAAGCGTGAGATAGCATGCACGCGTACGTGGCCCGCACGTGTCACACCGTGGCGCGATTGTCTCAATGTCTTCTCGCGTTTGGAAGAAACTTTCAAGGTTTTTGCGCATCGTCTACCGATCACGAAAACGATCACAATCCGATGTCGCGTTTACTCGCTTTACCCTAACCGATTCCCGCCTTTGTGTTGTGATGGTCGATTGCGAATACACATTTTATTCCGATTAAATTCCAGTGCACGCACGCACGCGCGCGCGCGCGCGCGCTCTCCGTACCCACGCCTTTGCGGAGCCGCGCGCTGCAACGGGTGTACAAGCGCATCTCTCGCCGATATGTTGCATACGTACAAGCTTACGTACCGTCGTCCGAGAAAACCGGTTTTCTGTACGTTTTAATTTCACGCCGACATCGGCGCAATTCAGTTTACATGGATACTCCCAGTTTCTCCTAACACGCGCGCCTCGCGAGATTAACGCACGGCCGTGCGTGGTTTTTTTATTTTATTTTATTTTTTTTTCGTGAGCCTAGATAGCTCGCCAAGGCAAAGTGCAACACACATCACGCCGCACGTCGCGTGACATTTATATAAAACCGTTTTGAGATCGAGAAATATATCGTCGAATTTTCAACGTGAAAAAATATTTCACGACTATCTTGACGTGTGTTGCAATTATATCTAAGACCGAAGTATATGTATATATGACGGACAATTATCGCGACACAGTAAACGCTGCCACTAAATTACACACCGCGCGACTTGTAACGACGTTACAACGAAAAATCGGTAATTTTTAACAGGAACGCAAAAATTGGAGTAATTTTAATTCAATACGTCATGGAGATCGACGAGATGATAATGGAGATTGGTGTGTTTGTGTGTATATTTATGTACGTGTTGCAACATCGACACTTTGTAATTCAAATATATCATTTCTAATTTTATCATCGACAAATTACGTTCAGAATTCTCTTGTTTTTTGAATAATATAGAAATTACTGATTACAATTATTAATAATAATAATGCTCAATTATGCATTACTGTGTCACACACATGCAATCATATGTTTCATTGTTTCTAGCATCGAAACCGGTTTTTATTAAATTTTATTCACGACTTGTTTCAATTATTTGTAATTGTTCGATTTTCATTTGCAATGTCACACTCCATTCGAGATTATTAACAATATTTATCATTGTTTAAAGTTTTTTTTAACAGATAATATTTGCAGATTGTAACGAAATTTTTTCAACAAACTTTTGTTCATACCCACACACACACACATACACAGCGACAAATGTCAGAATAATTCTTTGAATAACCAGCCACCAGTTTTTTAGCAACGCGATAACACAAACAGAAATCAAACGTCGATTGTTGTTGTGAATCAATTGGCGGTATCGAAGTTTTTACCGTTTTTCCACTGATCGACGCGCACTATTGATTAAAGAAGAACAGATGACGAATGTGTTCTGACGCTCGTCGATTCAAGCGTGTTGATGATCCTCGCGGAAATCGGCAGCAAAAACGGGCAGGAATCGATCGAGATTTCACCAAGTGAAAAACTGCCAGAAAATTCGATGGCACGAACTGTCACTTCGTTGACGCGCTAACGAGAGATTCGATCTTGCGTCGCTCTCCGAATCGTTTCCTCGCGCGCGCGATCGATAATTCTTCTCGTAGATCTTCTCCACAGGCTTCTTTGTCTTTTCTCTTCTCTTCCATGCGGCGGATGAAATTAATTCATTACTGAACAGGTATGATGTCTCACCTCGGTCCGATATCTCGTGATCCTCTGCGCGCGCGTTCCGATGCTTACAATCACTTACAACTTACACTATCATGTACACTTCCAACGCGGCACTGTTCGTCGCTCAACTTCGTTCTCACTGTCATCCGTCGTCTCTCCGCTATCGTCGTTTGTCACGAGATTTAAATTTTATACGTAGTCACCGTTGAATTTTTTTTAAATATCTTATTTAACCTCGCGTTGTGACCCGAGAAGATTAATGTCATATTACTTTACTCCTAAGAACCGATTTAGCACTGCGTGTGTAGAGAGAAAATGATTGGTTATCGGTGGCATAATTATTACATAACGTTTTACAGTGACAATTATTGAAGTCTCGATTAGTCTGTCTCTCGGCTAACATGTTCTTCGATACAAACTTCGTCGGAAATTATCTGTCGTATCTGTCGTGCGTCAGAGCATTCGCTCGTGGAAACTGTCACCGAAATATACCAATGGCTCATCTCAGTCGCTG